GAGATGAAGGGAGAGAGAGAGAGAGAGAGAGAGAGAGAGAGAGAGAGAGAGACGGAGATAGATAGATAGACAGATATAGAGAAATAGCAAAGAATTATTCGTTATGCAACGAATATAGAGATTACAAAATTTTCAAAACCGAAAAACTGATTGTTTTGTTCCTTCTTTTTCTTATTTTTTTCTGATTCTTTTCGGTCGTATACTATTTTTATACATATATTTTGAGAAACAGCAGTATACAGGAATAGCAATAAAAAGTGTAGAAGTATATAGTTTATTAAAGGCTTGAAAATGTTAAAAATGTAAATCAAATTTACATTTTTGCGTTGCGTGCATTTATACACTATTTCAGGCTCATTGTCGTAAACTTTAAATCTACATGAATTATTTGCATATTATCTTCGCGTGATAATATAATTTTTAATTTATATTATATTTATTTATGTACGTATAGATTATTATAATTTACATGTGTGTGTGAATGTATTCAACCTTACATGACATTTTATTTTATTATATTATCTTAGTATGAAACTCCTTATTGGTAGAGCTGGATCTAACAGATGGTGATAGTATTTACATGTGACAATTATCATTAATATTCCGACCTGATAATGTTGCTTTTGTTTTTGAGGTATCCTTTTTTATCTTACGCATCTAGCAATTTGTAAAGTGGGGAGCACACACTCTTGCATAAAGGCATAATGCATAACGCATGAGAAAATTGACCAATCAGAGTCTTTCATTTTCATCGTGGCAATAAAAATGAAGATTTTGATTGGTTAATTATCTTATGTTGTATATTATGCTTTTATGCAAGAGTGTGTGCCTCCCATTTTAGATTGTCAAGCTGTCGCTACGTGTGTAACGTTTCTACGCAATATGACAATATACTACACAAGCCGGAGAAAATTTGCATAATAATTTGGCAATCACAGTATATGTGGTAATGTGAATCATCGAAATTATCGAATAACACGAATTAACACGTTTTTATTTTTCTCTAATTTATTATTTATTATATAATTATGTATTATATATAATCTATTCATTTTCGTAAATTCGTTCGCAGTTATTTATTAGGAAAATTCACCTTGTCTAACATTGAGATTAATCACCAGCGCTAGATACTTTTTTCTTCTTTTCCCGCAACGGAAGATAAACATGGTTATGGAAATCCCTTCGTTGCGGAACTCACGCCGCTAGAATGAGTAATCTGATGTACTGTTTCCTCATTAGCGATTTATAAATTTCCCATTTGGACACATTGTTAATTCTGATAAGAGATATTGTGTGTCATCCACTGGTTTTTATCTTGAATTTTCGAAATTCGTGCGTTATCAAATTAATGTCATGTTTATGTTATTTTAATTAGTAGTAAATTAATTGAATTAAATTAGTTGAATGAAATCAGTTAAAAAAAGGCTTGATTCATAGCAAGTTTAGCATTTCAACCAAGAATATTAAATTAAAACAATCGGTTTGTTTACTACACAGAGTCAAACAACTTCTTCTCCAATAAAGTTTTATAATAGTTCTTCTTGTAAAGAGAATAAACTTTTCTCCTGAGTTTATAATAATGAAATTATCTAATCAAATTTGTTATAAACATATTTTGTTATGAATTATTATCAAGAAAATATTTTTTATTTTAAATTATATAACTATTATTAAAAAAAGAAGAGTAATCTAAGTTTTTTAGTATTAACAATATAATATTAACAATATAATATTAACAGTATAATTAACAGAATATGTTTCTGTGTGTAAAGACTGCATTCCGACATTCGCTGTCAATACTGGAAAGCTATATTTCATGTTATACTATAGATTTTCAGTACTGACAGTGAATATCACAATGAATTTAGCCAGAGATATAGGTTTGTGCTTTTTTTATTACTAAAAGTACTTTCAAAAGTGGCTCACAGCTAATCAGAAGATTGATCAAAAAGCTACTTCAAAGATGCTTTTAACGATAAAAAAGAGTTCCAGAATATAGGTAATTGTTTCTGAATCATCAGTTTTCGTTTAGTCTCTACTCGCAGATACATAACTTTCTTTTCCATGAAGATATCAAAGAAACACAACGGAGAGTTTCAACGTGGACGAAAGTGCAATGTGCTCAGGCACAACTCTCGCAAATTTTCGCTGTCTCATAACACTTATTGTGAACTGAGATTTCTTCTCATACATACAACTGAAGTGAATTGACGTGTCGCTGGTCATAAAATCATCAACGCACGTCACTTATATGCGCGCACGCGCCGTTTCGTGCACGTCACTCGACGAGAGCGACGAGACATGTTGCGTCTCGTGATCGAAATACGCCAGTTAGTGCTCGTGTTAGCGCGAACGTGTGAGAATATCGCGATCTACTCGTTCTCTGGCTATTGCCTACGAACACCGGTTATCCCTTCGTAAAACGTGTCGACGAGGGAAAATCACGCAGCATGAACGGAAAAGAGGAGCATGAGAAGAAAGCGGCAGAAGGTCACGTGACGTGGAAGATAACATCGCATTCATTGGTCAAGTGTTTTCAGCGTAACTGGTGTGCTCTTTGTGCGTACATACTAATGCGGAAAAAAATCAAAGGACGATAAGGGACAAGTATATCGGCCGATTATGACGATCGTAGCTGGTGGTCTAATGTGTTTGTGTTGCGCGCGAATTTCGCCGCCGGAGAACGTAAAAGTCGTTTGCGCGTGCGTATTATTTTTTTGAACTCGGTTTAAGGAATGCGATGACGTGCAAAATGTTTTAAAATAAGTTTAGTCATTATGCGATAATTGTGTGATAAGTCACTTTGTCTTTATTTATTATAATAAGTCTTCTCTCTCTCTTATATCTATTTATCAAACGGTATATACACTCGTGGTCAGAAAGGTTGTTTGATTTTTTTTTGTAAGTTTAGGGACCTATCCTTCGTGTCCAATAGGAGAATTTATTTTTCAATAAAAGAGCTCTCCTATTGGATAAAACGGTTTTGAAACTTACAAAAGAAAAATGAGACAACCTTTCCTATCTTATTGATTTTTAAGTAATATTGAGTATATGAGTTAAGAGGATCTTACATTAGTTATAATACGATTTGTATAATCAGATCAATCACGAATTTATCTTGTTATTTTGTACTTTTCAGTGGCCATAACCTTGGGTGTTTTGGAGTTTGGTGCAATTCCATATAAACAGTTGGGCTTCTTTTGCAATGACCCGAAGATCTCGTTCAAATTCACCGGCGACACCATCTCCATGGCTTTACTGTTAATCAGTGTCTTCACCATACCTTTGATAGTAGTAAGTATTTTCACACGCACTCTTTCCTGACAATTTTCCAATGTTCTCTCCATTACACCGACCTTTGAATCTCTTTCACACATATTTACACGTTATGAAAAAAAAAGTAGAAGCCTCCTGTATCAATATCCTTCGTAAATTCACACAAATATAGTAACATATGGATTTTATTGACCGATTTCAGATATGGATCGTGGAATATACCTGTTATTCCGACGACAATTACGAAAACAATCTGGATTATAACGGTTCCAGATCAAAATATGTTTGGACTTGGTACCGCCAATACGTCGTAGTCTCGATCGTGCTTTGTGTCGTCTGCGAATGTTTAAAAATCTTGATCGGCGAGCCGCGACCACATTTTCTCGACACGTGTAGACCACGTGAAGCAGTTAACTGCACCAATGAGTAAGCGATCCTCTTTGCGTTCCTTTGTCCTGGCTGGGCACCCTACGCGTAATTAGGTCGGCTTTCATTGTAGCGTAGGTGGTACGGTAGATGAACGCGAATGACGTGTTCGTAGGGTCCCAGATGTATTACGTGGACGTGTGGTCTGACGAAGAAAGGAGGAAGTACACGTGACGGATTATAGTAATAATTGCTGACACCAGAAATGGTGTCGATAATGCCGTAGGGTCGGATACGATATAGAAAAGTGCTGGACTTGGTCAGACCACGCGTTACAGTGACATTTAAAATGCAATTTCTCTATAAACGTATAATTGCAAGTTTAAGTAATCAAGTAGCTTCCTAGAATGCACTGTTATTTTCAGCCTAATATTAGGATACGATCATTTCTAAGTTTTGGTCAAAAAGAGGCGAGTTTTTACCACCTATTTGTTGTGTGCATTCAGCCACAGTATATAGCCGCAGTGTACAGTCGGTTGTACAGAAGTTTATAACGCGTTTAACATTTTCCGCGTTACTTAGCATTTTATAAATTAAAGCGGTGACTTCACTGTATAACTCTTTCAAATTTTTTTCTTCGCAGATACTTTCACTCTTATACCTGTACAAATACAGTGAACTCAGCATATTTCGTCATGGACGCCAGTAGGTCTTTCCCGTCCGGTCACGCGGCCACATCCGTCTGCATGAGTATCTTTCTGGTGGTAAGTTGTGCAGAATTATTTATCCTTGGATAAAAATTAGAAACGAAAAGGAAACACGACTTACCCACGAGAAGCGCATCCAATTGCCTCGCGTGGGCAATGCAGAGAGCCACGTTACCAACATTGGATATTGCCTCTTCAGATACCGATAGCCAATATCTGAACGACCGATTGGATAAAAACCGAAAAAAATCCAGACTAACAGTATATCGATTTTCGCGGAGCGCCGCGATAGATAAATAGAGACGTGTGCGCGAGAGAATCGCAAAGTAAATTCGCCGCCGTGAAAGACGAACGCGACTTGCGTTCTAAAGTAAGAAAGGTGAAAGATGTCAAGGAGGCAGAAATGTAGGAGGACCGATTTTACGCGCGTTTTCAAGAGGTCTTACTCGCCGCGACCTCGACTCGACCCCAAGGACTGGATAAGAATTTCGTGAAAATCTGGATCTTTTTCTCTTCTGTCCTGCAGTGGTACCTACAGAATCGCCTGCGTACCCGGATGATGTACTTCAAGCCGTGGCTGCAGTGCCTGATGTGCGTATGGGCTGTGGTGTGTTCCGCGACCAGAGTCAGCGACAACCGGCATCACTGGTGGGACGTTGCTGCCGGCGTCGTTCTGGGCATTATGTTTAGCACATTCCTCGTGGTAATCTGCCAATATTTCCGTGTCAACTCCACCAACGACGTCATCGTGGGCATGAAGAAGGTGGCGAACGAGGCCGACAACAGGCAGATCAACTTCGCTGAGAAGTGACGTCGCGGCGTCGATGCATCGGCGCACCGAAAGAACGCCGCGATCGTTTGGAAAAAATGTATCGGAAAAAATATTGCCGCGAGTGATCTGAGGGACTGACAAGAACCGGAGAAACTTGGGAACCTGGAGAATCCCCGGTGAGTCGCGACATTCGAATTGCTCATTTTGGGGAGGAGCATCTCGTACTATCTGCGAGAATCAGCCGATGGATTCTCACTGTGTGCGATGCTTTTTCTCTACGTTTTTCTAAATGCATTTTTTTTAAACGTGCGTTTACGTTTAGCGTGTTGATAACATGAGAGCGGAACGTTTTAGAATTATCATTCAATATCATTCAATATCTTGTAGTTCCTGTATTACCCCGAGAAATGAGAATTTCGAAGTGACTGCTCCGGCGATCACCGATTTGATTCGAGTCGAATAATCGTGTGCAGAAAACAATACTCGGCTCATGTAAATGATTTTTAATTAACTTTCCTCTATTTTCCGGCCTTGTTGGGAAAATCTCGGTTGTAAAATTTTGTAAATAAAATTTAGTAGGAGGTTCCTGTAGTTTTCAGTCGAATGTTCTGACGAACGTTCTCAGTCACGATGACGAGGATATCGAGCCATGACTTTTCGTCTGATCCCTATTCAATTACACGAACTGAGATCTTTTACCGCGCGGACATCAATGTTTCTTCCGAAATATAATGTATCGATCGTGAAATCGCACGAAACTTACTTTTATATTAATTTACAAAGCGCTCAGCGTAGGATAATGGTACTATTTTACATTCCGTTGAAATGAGAAACGCACATATCCAAGTCTCGGACGCTTCGATCGCGAGGCGTTAAAAATGTAACGGAGATACGTTGAAGTGTAGATGCCACTGTTGACTGACTCGCATAGCTGTGAGGTAGGGATTCCCCGGGGTTTAATAATCGAGTCGCGATTAGCTGGAGAGAATGACGCTTCAATGAGAGAGATGACTTAGTAATCATCCTCCTGGCATTTAATTGCTCATGCGACTTCTCTAATAAACGAGCTCCACTCGTTCTTATCATTCATTTACACTTAGCAGAGAATGCATTATGTAGATGTCCTCGTTTTAGTCTTTCGATGCACTTTGCAACTCGGAACAGAGGTAAGACGTGCGTAGTCTTTTAATCTCTCATGTATAATTGTATGACAAACAGTATAAAAAAATCATAGTCGCGTTACAATCGTTATTTTACCCGATTATATACGATATATTATACAATATACAGAGTGCAATATAGAAAAAAATCATGACTTACAGAGTAGTAGTATTCGTTATACTAAAGAATATTTTGTAGACAATCGAAAAATCAATCCTTTCAGAATTACAAGTGCTTTTCAGTTTTGATCACACAAGTTGTACTTCCATTGTGATCCACTGTTTCTCTCTACTATCAGTGATTGCAGTGTTGCAAGAGACGTTGGTAGCAAGAATCCTCTCCATTATGTCATCTTATTATTCTAATCAGGAAATGGCAAACATGCGTTTTATGTATGGCCTTGCCAATGGAAATACTCTAACTGCACGACGTTTCTATGCAAAATTTTCTATCTAAATCAGAAAATTCTATAATACGAAGATATCAAGCGTGCGTAGAATGGATGGAAGACATATATGGCATTTTTTGTAAAATAATAACAAAGTAATAATATAGCATATTCATTCATCACACGTTTCATCAGTGAAAGCAGACAAATAATTTTCGTTACCAAAGCCAAAAAATATTTATAATTCTGAAAGAGTTGATCTTTCGACCTATGTTTACTAAACATTTTTTACTTAGTATAATTAGTATACTGCCTACCCTGTAAGTTATGAATTCTTCTTTTGAATATTCTATATATATACATATGTATATATTATATATATTATATGTATATATATATACATATATACATTATATGTATAAATATACATATAATATATGTGTCGGTTTGTACATAGTGGATTCTGTAACAATTTCAGCTTTTTTATGTGTAATGTAATGATTGTACTTTTTATGTTATTATAATTTTATGAATTAATACACATGAAAATCAAAACGGTGTACACATTAATTCATGAAGTTTTATAACGATATAAAATTATGATCTTTTTATTCAAATAATCTGAAATTATATATTACATACACAAACATACACATATATATACAGTACCTTCCATAAAGTTTGGAAACGCAAATAAAACTAAGGATATTAAAATGGATATTTTATAATAATTCTGTTTCGCATTTACCTTTAAAAGATTGGCATTTATGTCATTTGATAGAGCGACGTTTCAAGTTTAAGAATTCACTTTCTGTGTATTGCTGTGTAATGAAATTTAATGGAGTCATGAGCAACTAGATTCAAAATGCTCAATTTTACTTTAACCCTTAGTAATACGGAAACACAAAATTGTAGAGAAATTTTTTCATAATGTAAATTGTATAGAAAATTTCAATCTTTTACACGGAAGAAATTAAAATTTTCTTAGATTTTCCTTGCGTTTGTGGCATATCTCAAATTGAGAAAAAAGTTTTGTCTATTTTGTTTTCATAAAGATCACATTACACTAATAATTGACCATTGACGATTGAAGATTAAATTTTGACGAATCAACGAGCTTCAGGCTTGGTTTCCTTTGTTCTAATTGGTTAGTTTCAATCGCCAAACACCAATCGCTAATGTAATTTGGCCTTTATGAAAACGAATGGACAAAATGGAAAATTTTCTTCTCAATTTGAGACATGCCACGAACGCAAGAAAAAATCTGAGAAACTTTTTAATTCCTTTCGTGTAAAACATTATGAAAAAATTTCTCTACAAGTTTATGTTTCCGTATTACTAAGAGTTAAAGTAAAATTGAACATTTTGACTTCGGTTGCTCATGAGTCTGTTAAATTTCATCGCATAGCAATACAGAAAATGGATTCCTAAACATAAAACTTCGCTCTATTAAATAGCATAAATGCCGATCTTCTAAAGGTAAATGCGAAACAGAATTATTATACAATATTCATTTTAATATCCTTATTTTTATTTGTATTTCTAAACTTTTGGAGGGTATTGTACATACACACACGTGTGTGTGTGCGCGCGCGTGTTTGTGTGTCAGCAAATGCAATTTTCCTGTTTAGATAGGAAGATGATCAAATGATGCATCGGAAGATTAAGTCGATCACAGCGAGAACGTAGTTGTCGAGCTCGACTAGGGTGGAATTTGATTTACTCGCGCAAATTTTTAAAGGTCTTGACTATTTCCGCGGATATACATATACTGCAGACCTTCGATTTACATTCCGAAATGCAACTTTCACATATACGTATTCTCCGTTAATAGTTACTATCGATATGAGATTCTTGATATATTTAAGCCGTACAATCTCGCCGTACAATCGCGTGGAAGGTTGTGCGCGGGTGTAAGAACGAAACGACGAGTGCGCGACGAAGGCATTTACGCAATCGACGTCGCGGGAACAAGACGGACGCCTGTACAGTTAGATAGATCAGACAAATGGAATACGCGCGACGGATTACACAAACAGACTTCGGATCATTGAAATCTCGTTTTATTGTCCCCGGTGTCCGTCACGTAGGCGACTGACACACGTCGTAAAGCCCGAATCAGACTAGCGATTGACAATTGGCGATTGACGATTAGTTTTCAACCAATTAAAGCAAAGTAATTGTGCTGTTCTAATTAGTTAAATCGCTAATTGTCAGTCGGCAATCGCTAGTCTGATTCGGGATTAAAGGGGCATAAGAAGGCGAGCTTTTAGATTAGCCGCAAAACTGCACTCTTCTCTTAACGACGAAACGAGGAACATTCACGAAGAGAAGAGTAATAGAGAAAGAGACACATGTGTCAAAGACGCAAATCTCTCTTTCGCGACGAATATTTTCCGATGATATTGAATAACGTGCGTAGGCGCGAAGTATAATAAAGTATTACCTGTCAAAGTTATGGACCATAAATACGAGCAATGTTTATACGACAATGCAACCGCACGGGTATAATGATAAGTTACGCGATATTAAAGCGATTACATCTCGACGAGAGGTGCACTTTAGCGCTGTCGATTGTAGTTTTTACGTACGTGCCTGCCTTCTCTCCCACTCCGTTCAACGTGATACCTCCACGTGGTCACGCAGTGCGAAATTGTATATATTGTAAAAAATGTCATATTTAATGGTTCGTAAAAGGGAGAGGTAAAATAGCAGTGGGTATTATTTAATTATTTAATTAGTCTATACATACGAAGCAGCGACGTGCGATCACGTTTATGGATTTTCTGCTATAATTGTACAGTATCTTTAGTATCGTTAGTGTAGTACCTCATCTGGATAGGACTCAGCCGATCTCGAGGCAACGTCCTCTTTCGTAACGTCGCGAATGGCAATATTATTTGGTGCTTTTCATGTACTCTTATTGCACCTTGCGTAAATCGACCAAATCGCTTGTGACACGATAAAATTCAAATAAAATTAATATTTTACAGTAGCAAAGACAGATAGTATCTGCTTGTGTAAAGACAGATAAATTAATTTTTCAGCTAACGAGCATTATAAGTCATGAGTCGCCACTTTGCGCGTTTATCTCGTGTAAGCTCTCGTCGCGAGAGGTTTTCGTGAAAATCTTGGAATTCTCTCGCAGATCATGAATACGTGTATCTCGTGAGTTCGCAGCCATCCCGCAGCGATCTCATCGCGAGACGACGCTGTTTCGTACGTAAAGAGTACTCCTCTGTCGTCAGTTCGCTCTGTCTGTCTGTCGTAGGGGAATAAAATGCAAAAATTAAAGACAAAATGTTCTCTCCCCCTCGATCGAATTCTCCCCCATTTCGGCCCTCCTACGCTCCTCTTCCTCGCGCAGAACGAATAATCGCGCTCCCTTTGAAATCCCGCGTTTTCTCCCTCGCCCTCGTTTTCCACCCTCGTGTCGTCAAATAAATCTTACAGGACGCGGCCGGCGATCGGTATCCTTCGACGTCGGCGGGAGAACAACCACCGGTCTGGGAAACTACGACTTGAAAGAGCGAGAGATCGTTTTTATTTCTGTGACCCGCTACGGTGCAGGTAAATCTCCAACTGGTAAAAGGTAAAAGTATCAATCCCTGGATAGTCAACTCTGGGCGTTCTTATTGTTTTGGTCTCTAAATACGAATATGTTTAAACATTCTCTCAACATAGAATATATGCATATGATCAATACGTATATTTTCTGCGTTGAAAATTTAAGTATTCGCATATTTAAAAACCAAAACAATGAGAATGTCCAGGCATGTGCCCGGGCACCTTTATCTTAACTGTTTTGTAACAAATGGAAAGTCTCCATCTTGATATGTTAACAAAAACTCAGTATATATATTCCATGTTGAAAGTTTAAGCATTCGTATTCAGAGATTAAAACAATGTTCAGAATTAGATACAAGCCTGCCTTTCTGTTAATTGTTTTGTTAACAAATTAAAATCGACACTTTCGATTTGTTAACGAGAAACCGAGACGTTCTCGAGCAGTACCGTAGTTAAGTTTTGAACCGAACGACAAAACGTCAAAGTCGGCGTGTGACTTTGACGTTTTCAGCGTTAGTCGTTCACGAACCGCGGACTTGGATCGCTGATGGGTTACACTCGTCGTTAGATTCGTCGAAGTAGAGGAAGATTCTATCGGCGGTCTGTGCGCCATTAGTCCCATAATTCGTCGAGGTCTTCTTGCGATTGCGATCGGGCGACTGCGTGATTAGAGCGCGATTCGAATTGTAATAGCGAAAAATCGAAATTCGATGGAATAAGTCCACATTACTATCACGTATTCGTAGCATTCCCGTGTAGTCCGCTACGCGAACTCCATCTAATGGTGACAGCTAAAATCGATATTATAAAAAATATGAACTCTGATAACGGCATCCTTTAATTCTCGCCTCAACGTTAGATCATAATGCACTCACATATGATAAAGTAGACCGTAAAAAACTCGCCACGATATTTCAATCAGCGTTGCGTTTCGAAGCCTCGCGAATTTAAACGAATTTAGAAATGGAAATCTCTTTAAGATGTAATATTCTTTCAATTCGCTATTCATCGGTATTTTTTACGTGGAGCGTGGCAAATTGCTCGTGTTACATTTTGAAAGTGTACAGGTTAAAATTCGTCATCGGGCGCCCCCCCCTCCCGAAACTCGTACTCAGCAAGAACATCGCGAAAAACCTGTGGCGTTTTCTATAAAACGTTCCGCGCGCGCCAAGATACACCATAAACGCGCCCCCTCCTCTCGTCAGCCTCTTTTTTTACCTTCCTCTCTCCCTCTTTCTCTCTCTCCCCATTTCGTTTTTTTTTTATTTTTCGTTCGCACGCGAACGGACGGACGGATGCGCGGGCGAAACAACGAGCGATTTAATTTGGTGGCCACGCGTATGTAACGCGACGGGCCGAAGCATTTTTTCGTCGAGGCCGAGTTTTCCACTCTCTTTCTCTCTCTCTCTCTCTCTCTCTCTCTCTCTCTCTCTTTCACTCTTTTCCTCCCATCCCCTTTTTTCCCGTCCACCCTCTCGCGCTCACGACCTCCTTCCTCTCTTCTCTCCTCTCGCTCTCGCCCTCCTTTTTTTGCTCCCCGACGAAACAATTGGTTAGGGGGTACGCGGCAGGGTGAGAGTGGGGTGGGTGCTCGAGGCGGACGCGTGTGGCGGTGCAGGAAGAGGAGGAGGTGGAGGAGAAAGAGGAGGTGACGGAGGAGGTGGAAGTGATGGGGGTGGCGGGAAGGAGAGAGAGAGAGAAAGAGAGAGAGAGAGATTGGCGCGGTACAGAGAGCGCGCGCGGAGGCTGCTGGATGAGAGAGATGAAGTGGCAGATTAACGTCAACCGACGTAGGCCATTCATAACTGGGCTCCACGGCCGCGGCCGGTGTGTATGGCAGCGCGAGCGAACGGAGCCGCGCGAGCGAGCCGCACGCGGCTACATGCACACACGCTACGTACGATGCGAACGTGTGTGTGTATATATGTGTATACGTACGTACGAGGGCGCGGGCACACGACGATTTATAGAATTGGAAAAACGATATCGGAAAAATAGTAAACTTTATTGATGAATCCCTTCCCGACCTCTAAGCGATATCACAACGAGCGCGAGTCGACCGCATTCCCGCGGTGCTACAGGTGG